GATTGGAGAAACAATATTTTAACTTTTTCTTTTGGAAGAAATCGAATAACTGTACAAGCCGATGAAAGAAAAATGAGGGAACCTGAATGTAATTCTGTATTTATTACAAGGCAACAATTTGCGAGAATACCTTCAAATGAAGAACTGTTTAGTTTATATTTAACTGAAGAAGAAACCTCTAATGAAAAATAATTGGTATATCCTCCTGAAGTTAAGAAACTTTTGAAAAAATTTAATGACACTTTTCCTACTACTTTACCTAATGGATTACCTCCAGAAAGAAGATTAGATCACGCAATTAATCTTATACCTGGCATGGAACCTCCATCTCGACCTGTCTATCAACTATCTCATTATGAAATGAAGGAATTAAAAGTTCAACTCTCTGACCTTTTGAAAAAAGGATTTATTTAACCTTCTGTATCTCCTTTTAGTACTTCTGTCTTATTTGTTTATAAAAAAGAAGGAACCTTGAGACTTTGTATTAATTATCGAGCTCTTAATAAGATGACTATCAAGAATCACTACCCACTACCTCGAATTGAAGACTTACTAGATTGACTTGTTGGTGCTAAATACTTTTCCAAATTGGATTTATACTCAGGATATCATCAAATCCGAATCAAAAAAGAAGATATCCATAAAACTACCTTCCGAACTCGATATGGTCATTATGAATTTTTAGTCTTACCCTTTGGATTAACCAATGCTCCTGCAACCTTCATAACTCTAATGAATGATATTTTTCATGAATATCTTGATGAATTTGTGGTTGTATATTTGAATGATATTCTAATATACAGTAAAACAAAAGAAGACCATTTGAAACATTTACGCAAAGTATTATCAAAACTTAGAGAACATAGATTATATGCCAAATTAAAAAAGTGTAAATTATTTAAAAACAAAGTTGAATATCTTGGACATTATATATCCGGTGAAGGAATTGCTGTTGATGAAAGGAAAGTAGAAGTAATTAAAAAATGGCCTAATTCTACCAACTTAACAGAACTTAGATCATTTTTGGGATTAGCTTCATATTACAGGAAATTTGTAAAGAATTTCTCTACCATTGTCTCCTCTTTAACTACTTTACTACGAAAAGATATACCATATGAATGGAAACCAGATCAATAGGAAGCTTTTGATAAATTAAAAGAGAAGTTAACCTCCATACCTGTCTTACTTATTCCAGATCAAACCAAACTTTTTACTGTGACTACTGATACCTCCGACACTGCCATTGGAGCTATACTGAGCCAAGACCATGGTAAAGGTGACCAACCTATTGCGTTTAAATCTAGGAAATTAAACTCTGCTGAATTAAACTATGCAACCCATAAAAAGGATCTACTGGCAATAGTTCATGCTATTAAACTTTGATGTCCCTATCTTGAAGAAAAACTATTCACAATTATCACAGATCACGCAGCCTTGAAATTTATTAAATCACAATTAAACCTCTCCAGAAGACAAGCTAGGTGACTTGAAGTCTTACAATCATCTAATTTTGACGTTAAATATCAACTAGGAAAAACAAATGTGGTAGCTGATGCATTATCTCGAGTTTCCCAACTTTCAAATATTAATACCCTTAATATTAACCTAATTGATAAAGAATTATTGATTAATGAATACAAAAATGATTCTTATTTTGAACCAATTTACCAAATATTAACATCCAAAGAAAACAAACCCCAAGCATGTAACTTTGAACTTCATGATGATTTAATTTATCTCAGAAGTGAAAAATGACTTGCAATTCCTAATAATAAGGAATTACAAACACTTTTGTTACATGAATGTCATGATTTAATTATTGCCAGACATTTAGGTACTGAAAAGACTTTGGAGTTAGTGCAACGAAATTATTTTTGACCAAGAATGGGAAAAGATATAAAGAACTATGTCACTAGTTGTGACTCTTGCCAAAGAAATAAAGCCTCCAACCAAGCGCCTGCTGGACTATTACAACCCCTAGACATACCAGAATGCCGATGGGATCATATTACAATGGATTTTGTAGTACAATTACCAAAAACCACAAAGAAACATGATGCAATAGTTGTTTTTGTAGAAAAACTATCTAAACGAACCTATTTTATTCCTACTACTACTGATGTAACAGTCCCACAAGTAGCTGAAATATTCCTTAATACTATATTCAAAAACTATGGACTACCTAAAGTCATTATCTCTGATAGAGATCCTAAATTTACTAGTTACTTTTGGAAAGCACTTTTTGAAAAATTGGGAACAAAACTTGCAATGTCAACCTCTTATCACCCACAAACAGATGGCCAAACTGAATGCATGAACTGTACAATGGAAGAAATGTTACGAGCTTATACAAATTACCAACAAAACAATTGGGATGAATTATTACCGGCAGTAGAATTTGCTTATAATAACTCTAAAAATCTATCTACTGGTTTTACACTTTTTGAAATTGATTTAGGACAACATCCAAATACACCTACTACTTTTGCAACTGGAAAACAAACAAATGTCACTGCAACTAATGACTTTCTATTAAAATGGAAGAATATTATTAATCTTATAAAAGATAATTTACGCTTAGCCCAGGAACGACAACAACAATATGCCAACAAACACTGCTGAGAACTTACCTTTGAAGAAGGAGATAAAATTCTAGTAAATGCTATTAATATCAATGATCCTGTACAAACCAACTGACCAACTTGCAAACTCACTCCTAAATTTATGGGACCTTATAAAGTTGAAAAAGTTATTTCCACTACCGCATACCAACTAAGACTACCTTCTAATCTGAAGATCCATCCTGTCTTCCATGTTTCAATGCTAAAACCATATAAAGAAAACCTAACTGACTTTAACTGCGACATACCACCACCATCTGAAGTAATTCCTGAAACCAATGAAGAGGAATATGAAGTAGAAACAATTTTGGACAAGAAACTAATGCGTAGAAAACCCTTCTA